TTCAAACACTTCAGCCGATACAAACTTCATACACATGCAGATCTCAGAGCTTGTCTTAATCTACTCGAGGTTACTAGACTTCATGACGGCTTTTAGTCTCAATGTTCATGGCATTCTAAATTCAAACATGAAAACTTAAACTTAAAACCCTAAACCCCAAACCTCAAACCCTAAGCATTAAACAATTTCTATTGAGATTCTCTTCTCTTTTGTTTAATGTTGTGAGCAATGTCTAAAATAAAGAAATAATTACATTTGCCACCCGTACTAATATAAGTATATTTCATATTTTTCATTGCTTAAAGGTTTAACGTTTAAGGTTACAGGTTTAAGGCGTTGAGTTTAAGGTTCCAGGTCTGGGTGTTCCAGAGTTTAAGAGCAAACTACGCCTGAAAGAAAAACATGACTTTTTAAAACTAAGAGGACAAAAAGCCTTCTCAGCACCTTTTGAACATTCTTACGCTGGCTCCCAGTAGCCAGTAGCCATATGGATCTTCAGTCTTCGCGAGTTCTCGCACCTTAGAGGCAAGGGTTAGCCTGTAATTTCACACGTGATTTCTGCAGCCAAAGAAATAAGCGACAGCCACGACGGCCGCAACGACAACAACGACCACCACGACCACCATCATCACCGCCACCGTGAAGACCACTACGACCAGGACCACCACTACGACCAACACGGGAACAATACCAACAACGACAATAACCTCGCCCTCAAGTTCATATTGAGGAGGGGTTAATAGTTGGTGCATGTGGAGGTTTACGATATGAGGGGTACATTCTTGTAGACCTTATTGTATTGGTGCAAGGGGTGTAAGGGGCGCAGGTGGCCTTGGGGGCATAATAAGTGCAAGGGATAGAAGAGGGGGATAGGGGTGTAGGGGGTATAAGAGGTGTAAGGAGTGTAAGAAGCGCAAGGGGTGTAAGAGGTGTAAATGGGTGTAATGGTTGTAAGGGCTGTACGGGTGCAGGCGTGTAAGGCGTGCAAGGTGTGTAAAAGAGGGTACGAGGCGTGTAAGGCGTGTAAGGGGCGTAAGAGGTGCAAGGCGTGTAAGGTCTGTAAGGAGTGTAAGGGGTGTAAGGCGTGCAAGGGGTGTAAGGGGTGTAAGGCGTGTAAGGGGTGTAAGGAGTGTAAGGGGTGTAAATGGGTGTAAGGGTTGTAACGGCTGTAAGGTTGCAGGCGTGTAAGGCGTGTAAGGTGTGTAAGTGGTGCAAGGCGTGTAAGACGTGTAAGGGGTGTAAGTGGTGCAAGGCGTGTAAGACGTGTAAGGGTGTAAGGGGTGCAAGGCGTGTAAGGGGCGTAAGGGGTGTAACGGGTGTAACGGGTATAAGGGGTGTAAAGCGTGTAGGAAGTGTAAGGGGTGTAACGGGTATAAGGGGTTTAAGGGGTGTAAGGGGTGTAAGGGTGTAAGAGGGGTGAGAGGATGTAAGGAGTGCAAGGCGTGTAGGAGTGTAAGGGGCCTGTGGTTCTAACCACATGGCTACTTCTGATGTTGTTGTTTCTTGTACTGTTCTGTTAAAAGAAGTAACATTTGGTGCCTCGTCTGTTGTTCTGCACCCCTCAGCCCACCCAACAACCCCAGGAGGGTTTTGTTTTAAGTACTAGTAGTAGAAATAAAATCTTGTGCTCCGTCTCATCTTTCAGCACCCCTCCCTCTCGTATGAGGTTGTTGTTTCTACTCCTTCTAGAAAAACAAAATCTGGTATCCCGTCTGTTGTTTTGCACCCCCACCGCCCCCACAACCGACCCTCCTCCAATCTTAGAAACCAAGGGTGTTGCGATTTGGCTCTTGACATAAAAAAAAAAGATGATCTTAAGAACACGAACTTGTGATTTTACTATTTGAAGCAGACATTATCCATCCGCTTTCATCTTGAGAACAAAAGCTAACGAGTTATTCTTGCTTTGGTATGAAAACTTGAACCATATGAAAACAGTCACACAAACAAATATAAACTCTATAGCATTAGACACAGTGGACCGATAACAGTCCCACCGTGTCTAAATATGAAGTTGGCGAGATATAATAAAACGAAGGATGGGGGAGACGGTGGACCGATAACAGTACCACCGTGTTCAGAGACCGATGTCAGTACTCTGCTTTCCCGAAGGCCGATAGCAGCACTCCGAGTTGATGCACAACGACAAGAAAGCACTAATTTAAATATTGCGTTTATGATTATGTAGATGAAAATGATTTATATATCATGTTTTATTTCTTATTCATGTAAGACTAAACATTTTTCTCGACGTAGTCCTTTAGGACATTGACAAGAATTAAAAATCAAAAATGGTGAACATAATGGATTTGTTTCTGTTTCAAGCAGACAAGAAATTAGTTCAATTAATTAAGTTCTTGTGCTCAAGAATTCAAAGAATTCAAATGTTTGAAATCTTTAATCCCGTGCCCTCAGCCAGACCATTTAAATAATTCAAAGAATTCAAAGAATTCAATTGTTTGAAATCTTTGATCCCGTGCCCTCAGCCAGACCATGAAAATAATTTAAAGAATTCAAAGAATTCAAATGTTTGAATTCTTTGAATTCTTGGGGAGGCCCAAGAATTCAAAGAATTCAAACGTTTGAAATCTTTAATACCGTGCCCTCAGCCAGACCATTTAAATAATTCAAAGAATTCAAAGAATTCAAAGAATTCAAATGTTTGAATTCTTTGAATTCTTGGGGAGGCCCAAGAATTCAAAGAATTCAAAGAATTCAAAGAATTCAAAGAATTCAAATGTTTGAAATCTTTAATCCCGTGCCCTCAGCCAGACCCTTTAAATAATTCAAAGAATTCAAAGAATTCAAATGTTTGAATTCTTTGAATTCTTGGGCCTCCCCAAGAATTCAAAGAATTCAAATGTTTGAAATCTTTAATCCCGTGCCCTCAGCCAGACCATTTAAATAATTCAAAGAATTCAAAGAATTCAAAGAATTCAAATGTTTGAATTCTTTGAATTCTTGGGGAGGCCCAAGAATTCAAAGAATTCAAAGAATTCAAATGTTTGACTTCTTTGAATTCTTGGGGAGGCCCAAGAATTCAAAGAATTCAAATGTTGGAATTCTTTGAATTCTTGGGCCTCCCCAAGAATTCAAAGAATTCAAATGTTTGAAATCTTCAATCCCGTGCCCTCAGCCAGACCATTTAAATAATTCAAAGAATTCAAAGAATTCAAAGAATTCAAAGAATTCAAAGAATTCAAATGTTTGAATTCAAGAATTCAAATATTTGAATTCTTTGAATTCTTTAGATTCTTTGAATTATTTAAATGGTCTGGCTGAGGGCACGGAATTCAAATAATTCTAATGTTTGAATTTTTTGAATTCTTGGGCCTCCCCAAGAATTCAAAGAATTCAAATGTTTGAATTCTTTGAATTCTTGGGGAGGCCCAAGAATTCAAAGAACTCAAATGTTAGAATTCTTTGAATTCTTTGAATTCTTGGGCCTCCCCAAGAATTCAAAGAATTCAAATATTTGAATTCTTTGAATTCTTTAGATTCTTTGAATTATTTAAATGGTCTGGCTGAGGGCACGGAATTCAAAGAATTCAAATGTTTGAATTCTTTGAATTCTTGGGCCTCCCCAAGAATTCAAAGAATTCAAATGTTTGAATTCTTTGAATTCTTGGGCCTCCCCAAGAATTCAAAGAATTCAAATATTTGAATTCTTTGAATTCTTTAGATTCTTTGAATTATTTAAATGGTCTGGCTGAGGGCACGGAATTCAAAGAATTGAAATGTTAGAATTCTTTGAATTCTTGGGGAGGCCCAAGAATTCAAAGAATTCAAATGTTAGAATTCTTTGAATTCTTTGAATTCTTGGGCCTCCCCAAGAATTCAAAGAATTCAAACATTTGAATTCTTTGAATTCTTTAGATTCTTTGAATTATTTAAATGGTCTGGCTGAGGGCACGCAATTCAAAGCATTCAATTATTTGAATTCTTTGAATTCTTGGGGAGGCCCAAGAATTCAAAGAATTCAAACATTTGAATTCTTTGAATTCTTGGGCCTCCCCAAGAATTCAAAGAATTCAAACATTTGAACTAATTGAATTCTTGAGCTCACTTAATTTACTCAATTATTTAAATGATTCTTATAATTAATATATAAAGAAAAGAACAGTGGCAACATAGTACATAAAGGTCCCTCTCTCATATATATATATATATTGCTGCATATATATATATATATGTATTCTTATTGTTCTATTTAGATATTTTATATATTTGCATAGATTTATTTGTGTATCTGTTTATTTCTACATATTTGCGCTTGTACCATTTTTAGCTGTTAATGTACTGACAAGCCTCTTGGCGGCATACCCCTAAAGAAAGTGAGCGGCACTTGGGAAGGCCGCCATCCCTAGACTCTCCTTTCAAGAAACCACTGCCGTGAAGGGGTTATGGATTTGGGTTGGAATGTTCCCCTTTATACTAACAGTCCTTAAAAGTGACTATAGTACCCCATCCCTACAAAGGACTGGTAGTATAAGGGGGAACATCCGTGGCACCGTAGATGGACAGGCTCTGAACCTGCTGCACTCGTGAATCTTGGGGGGAACATCCCAAGGTTTGGGGTATGTTGAGTATCTCTTAGAAACCCAAAAGCCGAAACGATAGGGAGATCAAGGTCCAAAACCAGCGAATCCATCTATCTTCACTGCCCAAAGACTGAGAGTCGCGTCCATCAGAGCGGCTAGGGTTTGGGGGTTCAAGAATTGGGTTTTTGGCAGCTTGGAGAATTCAGGGATCTAGGAAAGTTCAACCCTTGACCTCTTCTCGAAGAGTTTAGGGTTTAGGGCTTAAGCTTTTCTAGCCAAATTAAAAAGCAAGCTGTCAACCGTCATTTGAAAGTCTCTGCAGGTCCGCCAGAAGCTGTTCGGTCTAAAAGCTCAAATCCGAAGATGCACCACGACCACTCCTCCAACAGCCCACTCATCCATGAAAACGCACGTAGGCCAAAGAACTTAAGCGGAACATGCAATTCACGCAACTTATCTCTATAGCAGCCGATCTGCCATCAAGAGCAAGTCGTCCAACAGCGCGAGCTGCTCGCCCTGCCATGCCCGAACCTGCAGGAAACAGATCTTCGGCTAACTATCAGGTGCCCAACACCCTTGATTGATCCAGCATTTCGGGTTTCGGGCAGCCTTCTTTCTTGCCTTCTTTGGCAAACAGACATGCATGGCGAGGGTAAGAAGCCAACAATCATGAACCAACGCTTGCCCAAGCGGCCGCGCTCTCGTTGGCTGCCCAGTAGAGACCTGCTCTTGGAATGTGGAGGTCTATCTCAGCTACCCGAAACCCTAAACCCTAAAACCCGAAACCCTAAACCCTAAGCCCTCTTGCGGGTCTTTGTGGTTCAGGTTACTCAGGGCCATCCACCTGTCGAGTCGTTAGGAGGTTGAGAATTCAGTGTCCTAAGACGGCAGGCAGAATAGGCAGATTGGTCCTTCGCGCGGCACAGTGGAAGGATCGAATACGGCTGTGGCATCCGCACCTCAGTGCATCACAAACGTTCAACTTGTTGGGCGTGAACATACCCGATCCCAATACAGGCTGTAGAGCATGAGGCCTGGACAGGTTGCATACGCCTCGCAGATGCCCGCATACTTCATGAAGCAGTCGCCTTTGGCATTGAACATCGCCTCAATGTCACCACTGCTGGATTCTGCGCTGGTCCTTGGTGAACTCAATGAGTCGATGACAGCAGCCAACTTCGAGAACGGTACACGTACGGATTCTGACGGGAGCACCGCCAAACTGTCAAGAAGAGCCATTTTGATCAACTCTGATCAACCATCAACTCTCAGCTTGCCCAAGGTTCCAGGAATCCTCCAGAAATTGCCGGGAAAGCACAGCAACTGGAGTTGTTTCTGCACAAAGGCGTCCATCTGCGACTGTAACTGTTGCGGCCTCGACGTTGTACCTGCATGTGGAGGCACAGCTACCAAGATTTCTCAACTAATTCGCTCCCACATACAAAAGCCTCTTATAGCCGGGACAGGCTGAGATCGTGAATACCATCTGCCTTGAGCCTGCGGGGGCCTCAACATCCTTTGTTGGTGGAGGGGACTTCCTGTATGAGAACCCTAAACCCTAAACCCTAAACCCTAAACCCTAAACGGTCTTGGGGCCCTGGTCACTCATTCTTGAAAGCTCGGTGGAGGACTTCAGAGACCGAGAGCAGGTCATCCACGTTCTGCAGGGATGCTCGCCTCAGCACTTTGGAGCCCTGCGAAGCACGACCTGCTAGGGCAGAAGGAGCACCATCTAGCCTCCAAGTCACAAGTCTGCGTGGGAGGTGCGCAAGACGAAGAAGATGACCAGAGATCTGCAAAGGTGGTTGAAGCTGCTGCTCCTGCAGCGCTGCAGCAGTTTAGCTTCTGTTGCTTGCAAATCGACTGACTACGACATTCCAACATTCTACGTGTCTCAGCCTCATCTAGCCAAAGAAGGCTCATCATAAGTCTGCAGCAAACAAAAAGCCTGTCCTGCACACACGTTGCATCAGCAGATGTGCGGCATCAAACTTGCGGCATGTTGCATGGCTCTTCTCTGATTTCTTACGTGTCTGCTGCGCTCCAGAGCTGCTAAGTACAGTAGCCGTTGTCCGGTCTGAACCGGAGGATGCCAAGTTGAACCATGCAAGCTTCACTGGGAGCCGTCACCGGGCATAGCGATCCTTCTCAAGCACAAGGATCCAAGCTCATACGTAGGGTTTTTTTGGCACGCAAGTATATGGCAGGGCTGCGATGAGAGTCGGTCACCCTAAACCCTCAACCCAAACCCTGCATTTCCCCCACCCTCAAGACCCCAAATCCCAAACGCCGCAACCGGAAAACCCGAAGCTGCTCTCCAAGCCCCGAACTCACAGGCCCCCACTCGCCAACCAGGAAGGGCAGGGGTTTAGGGTTTGGGGTTTAGGGTTTAGGGTTTGGGGTTTGGGGTTTGGGGTTTGGGGTTTAGGGTTTAAGGTTTAGGGTGGGCCAAACCCCCAAAACCTTTAAAATCCCCAACTCCCGTCTTGGGCGGCACGCAGCATCGGGCCAGTGGTGCTGAGCGAGCGGGGCTGCAGGCGCACGAAGAAAGGCCTCACAGGGCTGAGGGAAGGGCTGAGGGAGGCCTCACAGGGCTGAGGGTGCTTGGGGCTCTGAGGCTTTTTTAGTTCATTGAAAGGCTTTAGAGTATTGGGGTCTATGGCCTTAGGGGCCTCAGTTTTTAGGGGGGAGGTCCCGGTGCGGGCTTCGGCCAGACATCCCGAAACTCTAGGGGGCCTCGGCCGATCAGTGACTAGGGGTGTCAGGTATCCGAAATTGTGGCTCTCTGGGATAACTGAGATAGGGGAGATCTTCGTTGCGAAGCTTCTTTCCTCAGCAGCCCCGGGAAGGGCCTGAACCCAAGAAGCGATGAAACCCCCCCATGCAAATGTGGAACCCTGAAGAGGTCCTGAACCCCCTAAAACAACTAACCATTAAACCCCACGACGGAACAAAAAGATAAACCCAAAACCCTAACTTAAAAGCCAGAACAAAAAGAAGTTAACCCCAAAACCCCACATCCAATGCCCAGGGTTCCCGGGCGCAAAGAATGCGGCAGCTGAGGCGCAGAGGCCACTGGGGCCAGGGGTCGCTCGCACCTGACAGAGCTTAGGGGAGGCTCCAGGAAGCCCGGGGCTGCGGGGGGTTTTGAGGTTGAGGCTTTTGTCACGTTTGGGTTTAGGGTTTAGGGTTTAGGGGTTAGGATTGGTTTAGGGTTTCGGTTTGATCAGGGCTTTCTCTCCGAGGGCTTGGGCAATCTTGGGCACATGTCGGGATCGACTCTTGAGCTTGGGGCATCCCAGGCCCCGTACTTGGAGGGGTTTGCTTTCGGGGGAAGCGTGATCCTTGCAAGAGCACCCTGCGATACCCTGATGTCTTAGCCGCGTCTTAAGCATCTGCGAGCCTGGTGCCACCATGCGAAGGGCAGATAGAGAACCTCCCCCGCACGCACCGTCACAACCTCAGGGACACAGATGCTGAGCCAAGAGAATCTCCCCGGCACCCCACCACGAATCGCGCGAGTTGGATCCCCACCGTCCGTCTCAGCTTGGCAGCATCGTCCGCGTACCTCTGACGAACGGCTTCGGGCTCCAGAATCGCCCACGTGGGAACCCGGCAGGATACCAAGATGCAAAAAGCAGCCCATGAAGCAAACACCGGCATCTCGGGAGCAGCACCTTTCCTTGCTACACCAGCATCGGCCCATGACACGAAACCTGGAAATACGAATGAGAGGAGCAATCGTAATCACAGCAGTAGAACGAACAATAAACATTGCTAGCATTCTTCCCACAATTTCCACGTTCCCTTCTGTTGGGCACTCAGCAGGAGGGTCGTCGAGGTCATAAGCCGCATAGTTCATGACCTGATGTCAGTTTTTGTCCAGGGGCCTTGGAGCCTGAGGGGATTTTGGGGGGTCGGAGTTTGCGATTGACGGTTTTTAGGATCTACGATTTGAAGCTTGGGGTTTCAGGTTTAGGGTTCAGCGTCCAAGCTGGGCATTGAAGGTCCGAAGACCTCGGGGTCTAGGCGTAGATCTTTGGCTCTCGTGGCACACATGAGAACCCTGGCGCTGTGCCTCGCCAACAAACAACGCCATCCAAACCCTGTGCCTCCACTCCCCTTAGAACCTCAATAAAAATGTGATGTTATCCCCCTTGCGTCTGTGTGCTCAGGCTACATGTGTACTTGAATGGCTTCGTGTAAACTGAAACGGGTTCATGTAGCCCCAGAAGTTGGCCTGCGCTGGGAGACTCACTCGCCTGGAAAGGTTTTGGATACCTGGACCCTTACAGAGCCCGCTGCAGGCCGGGCACTGGGCTGGGGGACCGGGTCGCCAAGCAATTTTGGCCTCCTCAACCCCCCTTCCCGGCTAGTCTCTAGTAGAGATTAGATCTATACAAGTGAACTAAACTAAAATGCCTTTTGGCCATGTAGCCCCCCCCCCCATTCCAGTCTCACAAAAGCAAGAGGGATGTGATGTTTAATACCCTCTTGGGTTTTACATGAACAAAAAACAAAAAGTGATTCCCAAGGGGGATATAGGTGCAGCCTGCTCTCCAGCCGCATGCATACAGCAGCTCAGCCACGGACAGCTTCGGTTGACAGCCCACCAGACTCAGCAAGTTGCAAGACTTCGGAGCAGCCCCTCATGGCAAGCTACCCCCGGAGCATCCTGCGTGTTGAAGGTTTCAAGGGGGAATCAACCCTACACCCTGGGATCGTTTTGCCTGTGTGAAGAATCAGCTGTACCTAACATTGAAGCCTGAGTATCACTCGGTCCGGCTGAAGGTGCCGCTAGTGCTGCTGGCACCCTCTCCACCTCGGTTTCAACATCAAACACAGGTGTCAGCATCGTCCGCGTACCATTTCAGCCGACTCTCACCAAAGCCCGAGTCAACTCAGCAGAAGCAGCATCTGGAAAGTGCAACTCCGAGACTGCCAAGAACACCTCGTGTCGTCAAGCAGTTCAAAACCGAGCGCGGAGCCTCCGCTCTTCTCCCACGTGGCCTTGGCTTTCACAGAGTCGCCTCGCCACCTACGCCTTCCCATTCCATTACCTATTCCATGGTTTAAGGCTCACAAGGCTCAAATGCCTCAGACCATGTTCGGCTCCCGGCACAATGCAAAACGACTTTAAGGCTTAGGCTTAGATGTGTCTGAGATGCCGGGCGTAGGCCTTCCTGAGCCGGCCATCAACCAGGTGATCCGTATCGCCGGGCGGGCACAGGAGAAACTCCTGCGACGGGCTCTGCAAGGAGGGTTCGGCCCGCTGCTTGGAGGTTCAGGGTACTTACAACCCCAGTGATAACTGTACTTATAAGCCCCCCCCAAGTCCCCTAGGTTGAGTAGATTCATAATAGGGGTTATAGGTACCCATGAACCTCCAAGTGGGCTGGTGGAGTGTTAGCATGGCACAGCGTGGCCTTCTCCCCCACCAGCTGCACGAACAGATTCTCATAGTTGTCGAAATGCAATGTCCTGAGAAAATGCCATGTGAGCCAAGTTCGGACGAGATAGCCTCTGCAGTCTACCTACTACTGCAGGTCTGCGTGTCATGCGACTAATGCGGGAGAAGTACTACTCAGGTACTGAGGCTAGGACGAGACCGTCTGGCCACCAAGCCACATGTCGGTGCGGTTGAAGATGAGTGACCTGTCTGCAAACCCATTTGCAAACCAGAGTGTCCCGCCTATGTCCCCGCAAATCTCACGCCCATCCGACGTCTCATTCACACGGCGGAAAACCGGGAGAAGAGCAGCTGAGCACACATCTCCTTTGGGGAGATTGCGTATTGGAGACTGAAGGCAGGGAGTAGGGATTTTCTAGCACCTACGGAAGATGTTATTGAAAACAACGGCAGCTCATCCAGAGCCGTATTTAAACGAAACCGTTCCCCACGCCCGCTGCTTTCCCAGCTCAGCTCCGCACTCACCGAGAGAGGGGAAGCCACTCAGCTGAGACCTTAAGACGCTACACACCAGTATACCAGTATGGGTTCAGGGTTTGGGGGTTAGAGGTTGCAAAGGTTTAGGGGCACACTCACAAGAACGACTCTCTGGCACAGCCTGACAGCGTCTCCCCAGCTGGGCGTGGCCACTGCAGAAAAGAGAAGGAATGCTGCATGTTGCCCGCACCATCCGCATAGCAGGCAGGCCTCGGAAAAAACTACAAGACAACACACGTCTCTTGTTTTTATGGTTTAGGGCTTCCCTGGCTTTCAGAATATTGGGCCCTGTACGCGCGAAGTTGAGGTCCAGGCAACCCCGGTCGACCCTGTAGCGAAGCAACGAAATCGGCCATGGGCACCTCGCCAATGCACACGTCGCGGTTGTTCTAGGACCGCGTGACCGATTATGACCTGAACCGAGACTACCTCGTGAGCGTGTGTCAGCCATCTCTTTGCGAATCTTTGCGACGTAGGGCCTAGTGCTGCGGACCTGCGGTCTAGTTATGCAGAGTCACCTCGATGCGAGATGCCGCAACCGCCAACACGACATCAGTGCGCACCACTCCTGCAAGGCCAACAGGTAGCGGTTGTCAAGAATCTCCGATTATGGTAGGCTGCATGAAAACCTAGATTGTGGGATAGAATGTACCTGTAGCAAGAACTTTCACGTTCCCAAACCCCACATAAACCCCCTTCAACCCCTAGTGGCCCGAGTGGAACTCCCTTGAAAGGCGGGCCTGGCAATGGCTCGGCTTCTTTGGCATCTGGCCATAGGTCTGCACTCTCCACCTAGACTTGACCACACAAACCCCGGACACGAACCCCTCTCTGCATACAGAATGTCTAAGGACCAGCCGTTAGTCAGTGAATGAAGACAGACGCGTGAAGCTCCGGACCTAAGCCACATGGCCCCCCATCATCTCGGTTCCAGACCCACTTGTCCCGTCCATGGGCCATCAAGGGCGCCACCTTCACCAGCGCATCCGCCGGGGCCTGGACTCGCGCACCCTAAACCCCAAACCCTAAACCCTAAAACCCTAAAACCCTAAACCCTCTGCAAGGTGA